AGTAACAAGATTTTGTTTTGCTCATACCCTGCTAAACTTCTCACAACCACTTTAATTTTCACAGAAAGATTGGCACAAACCACTCCGTGAAGAAGTACCGTGACTAAAAAGTTCCCTTGGTTTCAAATAGTATTATTTTCTATGAAAATTTACCAGTCTACAGCAGCATTTTCCGCAGTTTAGATTCACCTATAAATTCTCACAAATTGTTTTGAAGTGAATGGATGCAACATCAACTCCAGTCCACCTACCAAAGTTTGGGGATCTGATCCACAGAATTTTCCTGTAGAATGTTAATATATATGTAATTTTAAAAAAATATATAAATTTAAACAGTTCTGGAATAATTGCTCCTTCTCTTACACACTATTAATTAAGATAATTCAAAATGTCAACAGTTAGTGGTGCAGTTCTTATTACAAAAATTGGATAATATATTTTTAATAAAAAAAAGAGAAGCGGAGTAGTGATCATCCAGATAGTAAGATCTAACCTACAACATTTTAGGAATTTTCCTTTTTAGAAGTCTTTATACAGTACCTAACTGCACGACTGAGAGATATATGCTAGACTGAATGAAAATGCAAAGTCTGAATGTGCATCTTCTGGGTAACAAAATGCCTGACAGAATGTATCAAATCAAAAGATCTCTTTCAAAACACAGCAGTCTAGATAGTGTATGGGAAACATCTAATACAACATTTATGAAAAATCTTACTGTAAAAAAGACATTACAAGCTGTTTTGTAAGAAACAGTGAAGAACTGGATGAAGTAATTAGCTAAACATAAATGGAAAACCCCGAAACTAAAGGTGAAATGTACTGAGAAATTAATGTAGCTGTGTCTAGTAAGATTACTTTTGAATACAAATGTTGTGCTGCCATTTCAAATTAGCTACTATTAACTGCTTGATGCACTAACATTTTGTAATTCTGTGTAAATTATATCTCCTCCCTTATACCCATTTCAATTCCAGTTAACTAAGTTTAGTTGAAAGGAAAATGATTATTACATTACCTCTTGGTTCTTTTGCTGTATAGATGACCCAAGGCGGACATTACTTGTTTTATTTTGCATTTACTTGTTCCCAACATTCTGATATTCTGGCTACAATAAAATACCATTATCTTCCTCAAAAACTATAACCCTCAACTTGTAGCAAATCCTGTATCAAGTTTCAGACTGAAAGTGACAAGACATCTTTAATACATAGTTTGGCTTCACCAAGCACTTTTTAGGGGAGTTTTTATTTATTTTTTTTATGTACAGTACTCCCATACAATTTTTAAGTACAACAATGTTGGAAAAATTTAAACTTGTTTTAAGTTTTAAACAGAACAATGCTTGAAAATTAAAGCCCTCCTATTCACACAATAGTCTGCCACACCCTATTGGACTAGCCATCTCCGTTTAAGTCATGAAAGTTCTGCTGCATAAAATCCCGAGTGCCACAAATAAAGGTGTTAATACAGACAAAATGAATTTGAGTAATTTTAGCGTATTTTAGCAATACCACATTTTCCTACCTGTGATAGTTATGGTCCCCAGCATTTTAAAATAATTCTGATGACAAAAAAACTCCGTTCTTTTGATGCTCCCTTATGTCTGTATTGGGAAATCTCAGGGTAATCAAGAGTGGAAAGCAGAACAGCCTCTGGTGCTAACCCAGCCACAATGAATCTTTCTCTGTCTGATGAGAAAACCAGACTGAAGTCGTGTTTCAGCAATCCCTCTGACTTGGCAGATAGTCCTTTGTGGCCATTCCCTTCTCAGCTGTTCGCCTTAGAGTAACCGGGTAGGCAGATCATGTGGTTCATTTTATGGGAGAGAACCCCTCCCCTTGCCCACTCCAGCCCCTATTGTTGGCTAACAGACCTCATGCAGAGACCTTGAAATTGTTTAACTAAAGACTGCTGAAATGCAACTTAACTATTGCAGTCCCATTATTTTCCTGTTTGAAATGACATCATCTATACTCTAAATTGCCCCCTTTAAATGTTTATTACAGAGAACATTTAAGAGAGGGGAGGAAAGAGAGGGGAAGGAATTCTAGTATAGGCATATCCAATTTCTCAGCAGAAAACAGGTATTTAAAACATTTTGAACTTGTTTTTTAACTACACAAAAAAGGATTTTTAAAAAAGCCATGTATTAAATTAAATCTGTCAGAGCTTTATAAACACTAGTAATGCAAACTTTTGTTGTCCTATTATTTAGATTGTTTTCTGGCCTGTTGAAAACTAGGGAGAATACTTTTTACTTGGAGTTCTCTTCAAGAAATTACCTATAGAAGTTACTGTCAAGTGGACTGGGAGCCTCCCAAATCTGAATTCTGGGATCTATATGGGCCTTGATAATACATGAGAAATGAGGCCCATCCCTGTTAGGAGTCCACAGTACCCCTCCCATGCACTTTCCCCTCCTGCCCCCAGCCACAGATATGACCCTGGTATCTTCAATTCCCAGAACACTTTGAGGGACCCTCAGCTGGCCATCTCAACTTCTGAGGATACTCAGAATGGCCTGGAACCATATCTCACAACTAAAGGCCCAAATATGGAACTCAAGGCATGCAAAAGATCCAAAACACAAAGGAGTGCTGGTTGTCAGTAACAGATACTCAAGGAGGAACCTTAAATTGCTGGTAGGATTTATTACTTCCTGCAATCCTAGCTGAATGATTCTTTATTTGTAATTCTAAATGATTTCCAGCATGAAAGACACTGGGAACACCACATCTGCATGGAATGTAGACAGATTTAGGGCTAAAATGAGTTATATCTCTTGAAATGAGAAACATTTTAGAGGTATGCCAGGGCCTACCTCCATCCTCTTTTTTCCACATTTGCCCCAGGCCATATAGAAGAAATCCTCTGCATTGTCCAGAGGGGTAGGCATGAATGATGACAACAAGCATTTCAATTAAGCTTTTTACTTAAGAAACTATCCCTTCAATAGTTGGTCATATGGCTGGTATTTAAGACAGTGCCATTCACAGCAACAATTTTCAGGAAATAAAAATCACACCCATTAATCCTCCACTTAAAAGCAATTATCTGGAAAACATTAAATTATGCTTATTCTTTCTACAGATTGCATTTTTTCCCCTTCTATGATATTAGTATCCATTTAAAAGTTTGTCTAAAGAGCCATAGTTCTTACCATGTAGGGAGGATGGTTCTGAAATGTGGAGCCAACATTCAATATTAAGCCATATGAAATGGACAACTGCTATACTTGGAGCAAAATATGGATTAATACTTCCTTGTTTATCAAGGAGCCAAGTAATTCTCAGGAACTTTGTATTCTTTGCAATCTGACTGGTTATCAAAGGCATGCAAAGGTATTTACTGAATTTGCTGACAGTCATTGCGAGGCAGTAGGAAGAGGCAGATTAAGGATGACAGAATATGGCAAGCCTAGACCACATGCTACTATACTAGAAATTATACAAAAGAATAAGTTAGCATTTACTTTTAAAAAGTCTAATTTGTTGCTATGCTGTCAGGCCACAAAAAAGAGCAAAACAACTTAACAGATCTAATGTTAAGTTGCTCCATTACTCAGTTAAGAGATAGTCTAACTTTGATCTAGTCTCCCCAAAGCAATCAGGCCAGGCTGCAGAGTTTTCCAATTAGTTTCTGTGTCTGGTTCACAATGATAAGGGCTCTATCAATCAAGATTTAAAAAACCCCATAGGATCGAGGATAAAACTCAAGGATCACCATACAATACAGATGACTCCCTATCATGTTAATTGAATAGATTTGTGGTAACTCATTGCCTTTGGAAGATGTCAAAAGGATAAATACAAAGAGGTACACAGAATCTTTCTTGTGTGCCATCTTTAAAAACCTTTTTAATACGTAAAAATTTAAGTAGAACAGATGAAAAAAATGTTACTTAAAATTTGTCTTCAAACAAACCATAAAGGAAGTATTACATACTTTTTATTTGTGGCTCTGTTGTTTCAGCAGAAATATATGAAGACAGTCATTTTAGATTAAGGCCTGGTTTTCACACAGTTTTTACACTGTTGATTAGAGGTGGGTCTGGTACTATGTTACTGATACAATTACTCTAGTACTGTGTATACTAACACAAAAATAAGCATAATTTTGCTAGTATAACTCATCCAAATTAGGGTACCATATTTCTTATCTGTAACACTTTTACTAATTTAAATTGTACAAATTTTTGTATGTAGACAAAGACTCCTTAAGTTAAAAAAATCTAAAAAATTGACTTAAGGCACCCAATAAAACTGTTTATGCAGACTTGCACCAAAATAATGAAAGTTTTGAATTGAAATCAACTAAGGATTTGCCTACATGACTTATTGCTTTCAGTGATTTAAGCTGTCTCAAGTGGGTGTGTGCATCTAGACAAGAGCTTAATGGGTATGCTTCAGTCCTGAATTTATGCCACATTGCTCTGACTTTCAGTTCTGGTCTTTTCCTCTATGGTAACATGCTTATGACATTTTTACTCTGCTAAAATCTCTCAGCACTGAAAGAAAGTGATACCTGCATGTATGGATGAAGGCTCAAATCCTCCTTTACCTCTGAGAAACTGAAGTGACCCTTAGACTGCTTAGTCAATAAATGTAATAATATTCTCTCTCATGCAATGGCAAAAAATGTGGAGGGTCTTAGATTCTCTCTCAGGAACCTCCCTCAAGACTAATACGTTTAGATGTTCCCTTAACAACCAAATTTTGGTGCATGCTCAGAAGTGATCCAATATGTCTATCCGGCACCCAACTCCACTAAGTACATAAAATTGTCCCATCGCTCTCAAATCTGAGTGGCAAAAGACCATATACATCAATTGTTTGACACTGAGATTTAGGGGTAGCATGAGGACAGTGATGCACACTTTTTGCCTCAAAGTTGGAGACCTGAGTTACAAATGCAACTCACCCTGAGAGGGTTGGAACTGCTCTCTCTCACTTTGCAGTACACTGCCTTAATCAGAAGACCAGGGCATCAGCATGGAGGAAAGCACATCCTCCATTCCTCCTATTGAAACTGGGCCACTAGGCAGTAATGTGAGGGTAAGAGAGGCAGACAGGAGAGGCACTGACCTTGGAAGAAGGAAGCCTTGAGTTCTAGTCACTTCTTTCTCCCATGCTACTTATCCATTTTATGCAATGACTATGTAATGCAAAATGAACAAACAGACCAGAGAAAAAGCAAGAGGGAATGTGATTCTGTAGCCTACTAGTTAGGATTCTTGACTAAAAAGGTTTCCAAGTCTCTGGTCCCAGAATTGTTTTTACAGTTCGCATTAGTAGTCATTGGATAAAATGGATAATAAGCACTGTGAGGAAGGGCCAGAACCCAGGACTCCCTCCAGCCTGGAGACAGAGTTTGATTACCAGAAAGGGTTGAGATTTCACTGGCTGATAGGAAAACAGGGTTAGCAGAGGAGCAGGGATGGCCCCATATCTACTTCTGTTAGCCCTGCATACCAGAGGAGACATTACACAGACACTGTGACTCTGAGAGATTTGCAAAGGTTTTTCATTTTCATTCCTTTGTTCTCCCCTGCATGCCTTTACACAGGAAGGCAGTATACAGGCCTCAGCTTTCAAGAGAAAATCAGCATGCTGCTAGCCTTCCTTACCCCATTCACCTCTGCAATCTACAAGCTCTTCTAAAAGACCATTAGAGAGGATGGTTGGCTCTCTGCCAAATTATGCTTGTAGGAAACTTAAAGTATGGTTTTAGGTTTATATGATAAATTCTACTGATTATTCTTGACCAAAAGAACGTAACTTCTACTCAAATTTTATCACTTCCAAATATGATAATAAACAGCATGAGAACAAAAACTGCTGGAAAAAAACAGATAGGCTATAGCACCAGATCATTAAATACTTTGCATAATTTTTCCTTTGCTTTTTAAAAAAAAGAACAAATGATGTTATTATTTCTAGGAATGCAGGATATGGAATGCAAAGGAAGCCTTCTGTAAAGGGTGGTTGTAGTCCACAGCTGTGTCTACTAGAAGATATTGTACACTGGGATTGCTTGCAGGTTGTTTCCATATACCAAAACCTGATGTTTAACTTGCTTCTTATGAAATATTTAGAGTAATCTTTCTCCCAGTCTGGCAGAGGTGCCAAAGAAAATAGCTAATGAAACAAAGTACTAATGTTAAACAACTGTCACTGTGCTTCATGATTTTTTTTTAATGTGGCATTAATTGTAAATTTGTCATGGCTGAATCTGTGTGTAATACTGCAAGATCAGGCTAAACCTTTGCTTAAAAGTTAAACCTTTTGGTTTTTCTAATCGTGATACTAGTCTTCCCAGCTCAACCAGCATTTGGAGCCCTCTTTACTCAGAAGTAGAACATACTTAAATTTGGGTGCCATTTTATTCTAATCTATCAGTCTGTAATTTCCCATCATCATTCATTTTTAGAATTGTCACTTAACCCCCATTCACAAGCTACACAAAAAAGCATTTTAACAGAAGCCCCGCATCTATAACAGTTAACAGTTTTTTAAGCACTGTCTGCAAATATCTTTCAATGAAAAAACCTTCAATGATCACTTTAAGAAAACAGGGGAAATAAAGGGAAAGAAGGCCATTATCATAGGCAGACCACTGACATTTTTAGCACATTATTAACTGTGACAAACAGAACTAAATATCATTAGTTAAAATGTAACACCAGAGGATTTTTAGACAAGGCTCAGTATAGTAAATGCAGCCCTAAGCAGATGCAACTCAACACCACTAGGGTATGCACACGTAAAAGAATCA